TCCAGATGGCCAAGTGAATTGGCCCGCAGTGCGAAGCCGCCGAAGACGAAGATCTGTCCGGGGAGGAAGGTCTCTCCCTGGACTGCATCGCTATTGATGATCGTAGGAGCCATCAAGCCTAATGGCGACGACACAGAGGAACTCTCAATGGAAGCACCAATGTCGGTGTCAAAACCGGCGGATCTCGGGTAGGGGGTCCCGAACTATGCGTCTAGGCCGGATGGTAACAGGAGGCAAGGGACACGAAGTTTTACCCAGGTTCGGGCCCTCTTGATGGAGGTAGAACCCTACGTCCTGCTTGATTAATATTGATGATATGGGTCGTACAAGAGTAGATCTACCACGAGATCAGAGAGGCTAAACCCTAGAAGCTAGCCTATGGTATGATTGTTGTTCTGTATGTTGTCCTACGGACTAAAACTCTCCGGTTTATATAGACACCGGAGAGGGTTAGGGTTACACAAAGTCGGTTACAATGGTAGGAGATCTATATATCCGTATCGCCAAGCTTGCCTTCCACGCCAAGGAAAGTCCCTTCCGGACACGGGACGAAGTCTTCAATCTTGTGTCTTCATAGTCCAGGAGTCCGGCTGAAGGTATAGTCCGGCCATCTGGACACCCCCTAATCCAGGACTCCCTCAGGGGTCATCGGGCGTCCGGCTTGTGTGACATGGGCCGGACTAATGGGCTATGAAGATACAAGACATAAGACTCTCTCCCGTGTCCGGATGGGACTCTCCTTGGCGTGGATGGCAAGCCTGGCATTCGGATATGAAGATTTCTTTCTCTGTAACCGACTTTGTACAACCGTAGTCCCCTCCGGTGTCTATATAAACCGAAGGGTTTAGTCCGTAGAGGCAATCATAATCATACAGGCTGGACTTCTAGGGTTTTAGCCATTACGATCTCGTGGTAGATCAACTCTTGTAACCCTCATACTCATCAATATCAATCAAGCAGGACGTAGGGTATTACCTCCATCAAGAGGGCCTAAACATGGGTAAAACTTCGTGTCCCCTGTCTCCTGTTACCATCAACCTTAGACGCACAGTTCGGGGCCCCCTATCTGAGATCTGCCGGTTTTGACACCGACAACCACAACCATGCTCGGGCCAAGAGACCCGGACGTCCTCGTGCCGCGAAGACTACCCAGGAGGATCTCCTCTTGCCGTTGTCGAGACTAGGCGCAGCCACAGTGGATCTCGATCTAAACCCCTCGGGCCCAGATCAGATCTCATCGCAGCCAAAATCTCATCCGCTAAAAGGCCGCCGGAGATCTCCTGGCCACCGCCAACCCGCTGCGCACTGTCGTTGGAGGAGGAGGGAGAAGGACGCCGCAGCACCCACGTGTTACCACCGGCCGAGGACTGCGCTGCCGCTGCCGCCTCACACAGGGGCATCGCCCCTCGGCATCCTCAACGACGGCGGCGGTAGCGGGAGGCGATGGAGGGGAAGGACTGAGGGCGGTGTGGACGGGGACTGCCCGAGGGTGGCGTGGCGCCGCCGCCTCGGGGGAGAGAGGTCGGGGGAGAGGTGCATGGGACTGTGCGAGGTGGATGAAGTGGTCTGGGATGTCGTACACGCAAGTGTTCTAGGTTTAACGAATTGTAGTTTTACTATCATTGAGTATAAGTTTTCACCAAAAAAATCTTCTATCTTTTGCCTTTTTTCTGAAAGAAATCCATCTTTTGGCTTAACAGTGTACACAACCATGCAATTAGAGATTAAATTAAACAAGGAGAAAGCGACGGAACACCAACCGCGACTGGGCTGGAGTGGTCCCCACTCCCCATCGAGCAGCGATTTGATGTGATAGTATAGTTAGGCCAACTTCACTGCGCGACCCTATCCGCCCTTGTCTGTTTGGAGTAAAACGGACAAATGAGGCGGCCCAGCGCGCGGGAGCAAACGGACTTTTGTCCGTTTTGTGTCCGCTTTCGACCCATCTGCGGCCCAAGTTTGCGCCGCTTTTGGGGTGAAACGAACACAACGCGGACGCGCGAGCCGTCTGCGCGTGTTCTCCCCTGGCCCGCCCGTCGGTGGCACAGGGCGGGCCTTTTTCTATCCGCCCCCTCCCTCCTTCCGGCCGAACCCCCCTCCACTCTTCCCCTCGCTGCCGCCGCCGCCGCTGCCATTGCAGCCTTGCAGTTCGGACGCGCGCTCGCCCAGCCCCTTCCCCTCGGCGCCGCCGAGGTACCCAACCACGGCCACCTGGTTTGCGCACCCGCCGACCGGATTCGGGGCGGATCCGGCCGGTCTTGAGCTCGCCCGGCTGTGGGAGGCCGGGCCGCGCCATGGACTGGCCCGGCACCTCGCCGGAAGGCCCTGGCAGGGCAGCAAGGCCACATGCAGGCAGTGGCTGCTCCTCTAGCCGCTCGTATCTGCACCGTCGGTGGTCCGCCGGCAGATACACGAATGGCGGTCGGCCGGGATCGGTGCTTGCCCAAAAGCTCGCCGGTGCACCGTTGTCACTCATTAAGTGCGACCACTGCCCAAAGATGGTCGTGCGCGCGTGCCTACAACGCCGGAACATCCCGGATGGGTATTCATCAAGTGCTTAAACGATGGGGTATGTGCTCTTTTTAGCTTCGGTTTGTGCTCTAGTTTTGACTAGTTGTGCTAACTACAAATTTTATTGTGTAGCATGGATGCAAGTTTTGGTATTAGAAAGAAGAATACATCGATATATTGATAGAGCGAAATTTAGTACATGTTCGTGCACTTTTAGCTAGCATAGAGACTGTAGATAAGACAAGTGCACTTGTTGCTAGATTAGAGGCTAGACACGAGACTAGGTGTGAGGAAACAATATCTATATCTGGCTTGAAGAAGAAAGAAAGATGCCAGATCGAGCCTCCTCCACAGATCAACAATGAGTGCATCGAGAAGGCCCTAACCCAACTCAAAGGGGCAGTTATTGAAGTTGGGTATCTTCTAAAATGTATTCTTGTTGTTCTTATTTTTTTGTCTTGTTTTACTAGTCAAAATGTGACGATGTATTTTTATGTATCGAAAATGAATGATAAAAAGAAGTTAAGGACTTACAAAGAAAAATGTACGCGGACAGGATGCGGTGGGGATGCGTCCGCGCGCTGGGTGCACGGCCACCGCATGACGTGGACTAATAACGCAGACACGGTGTTGACGTACGGCCATGGCAAGGAAGCTGTCGCTCGCCGCGGAGCCGCCCAACTACCATAGATTGTGTATATGCATCTCTCTCTCACTCTCTCACTCTCTCTCGTCGACCGACTTTTCTTAATAGGAGTATTTTTTTTCCCACGCACATAAGATCCGTCTGTCCCGCTATGGGTTTTCGTGGTGAGTGCGACTGAAGTCTAGTAGCAGCAGCAGCTAAGCGGGGAACAAGTCTGGTCTGATCCACTCTCGGGAACTGAGGCCCCCGAATGGACATGAACCAACCAAACTGATCCACTCCCTCAACAAAAAGCACGCACTCCGCAACAATCGCCGTCCAAACATGGAGACCACTGTTTGTATTGAGGCGCTAGCTGCAAGAGGAAGAATCTCAGAAAGAGATCAGTAGCATAAGCACACGATTCCACATGCATTGCGTGCTGCCTCACCTTTAAGCTTTGCACGCATGGGCAAAGCCCGGAGCGGCTCTTGTTTTCTATAAGTACTAATAAGATAACGTGTTGCTCGATCCATGAAGCCGCTGGAGCTTAAAGGTTAAGCGACAAGATTTTGATAGTATTATCTAATATATGAACCATGAACTGTATTAATAAGTGATGGCAATCAGATCAACCCTCTGCTTTTTCACCACACCGTAATAATAGGATAGTACTCCCTCTGTAAAAAAATATAAAATTATTTAAATCACTAAATTCCTATTTGTCATTGGAAAGAACGAAAGAGCATTGTATACCCCTCCTAGGAAATAATACAAAAGGTCAAAATAAGAACGGAGAAGATTCGTTGATACGGAGTTGGTCCATTTTACAAGCAATCCACTATTCTGCATCCTGAAGATCATAGAACAACAAAAATCGGTAACGTTCTTATGTTTCTTTATTTATAGAGGGAGTAGTACTATAATAACTCCACTGCTATGAATTACTGCATCAAATGTGGACTAATGGACTTGCATCCAGTGAGTATCAGGTGATACCAAGACTTAGATGCTCCCATGATACGAGCTTCTTGTCAGTTGGATCTTAGATCCAACGGCTCGTAGGTGGTTTTGAAGGCTGCAATACTTGTTCGCAATTTTTAGACTTCAAAAGATCTTTTTTGCAAAAATGTTCAAAGCCTTCCGGAACTGTTGGATTTGAGATCCAACGGTTCCTAGGAGCTCGTATCATGGGAGCATCTAAGGCTCCGTATCACCTGATACTTTTCCTGCATCCAGTATCCCAAAGTAAACAAGAGTATATTTAGCCGCCTATGGACTGGCAGACCAAAGGAAAATCCAACTGGCAACAAGACTTCGCAGCCCCGCCCGCTAGTTATTCAGCTAGACGAAGGCGAATAATTCCGACTTGCAGGAAGGAAAAAAAACAGAAAGTCGTCGGCAAGTGTTCCCACGAAGCGACAAAAGCACGCAAAACCCCTTGGACTCCCGCACCACCGCCCCCCGACACACTGACCCCACAACTTCCCGCCCCCGGCAGTCAGTGACTCTAACCTTTTAAACTCAGGTCGAGTCCGAGCTGTACCCGCGATGCTCCCCCCTCACCGGCGGTTATTCCCTGTCGATCGGCGTCCTCCCCTCCCTTGCTCTGCTTCCCACTACGCTGATAGTACCAACAACTCCCGCTCCGCTGCCACTAGTCACCATCTCGAGTCTCTGCCCGATTTTTATTACTACGGAGCACCATCATCGCCCACGCCCAATCATCGTTCGTCTCTAATCCCCAGAAGCACCCACCTCCGCGCGAGATCCCACGCACCAAAAACCGCGCGCGGATTCTCGCCGGCCTCGATCTCGCGCCGCGCCTGCTGCTTGGGGGGCCGTACGTCGGCTGTGGGAGGCGATGGCCGCGGCGGCGAAGCTGACGCGGAGCTTCTCTCGGCAGCTGTCGTCGGGGGCGGCGCGGGTGTGGCGCCAGCTGTCGCTGGAGCCGCACACCCCGCGCCGGGGCGCGGCCGCGGCGACGGGGGCCGTGGCGGCGGCGGGGCCGACCAGGTTCGGCCTCGCGAGGCAGTCGTCGCTCGACCCGACGCCGGCGCCCGACGACGGGGCGGTGCTGGCCATGCCGGAGAACCTGGACGCCACCATGCGGCTGCTGTACGCGGCGTGCCAGGGGGACGCGGCCGGCGTGGAGGAGCTCCTCGGGGAAGGGGTGGACGTCGACAGCATTGACTTCGACGGCCGCACGGCGCTGCACATCGCCGCCTGCGAGGGCCGGGGGGAGGTGGTGCGCCTGCTGCTCGGCTGGAAGGCCAACATCAACGCCCGCGACCGATGGGGGAGCACGGTGCGCCCTTCGCCCAATTTTCTTCTCTCGCCACCCCGCTATGCGTCACCTGAATTTCGCTACGCCCCGCACTTTGCATACTTCCGATCACAAGCACCTCTCGTCATTTCGTTTGTGCAATTATATCGTACTACTAAGAGTACAGGGTCTGCCACATTGGAGCAATGACCAATCTGATGCATTCGGAGATAGCGATAATATAGGCGCATGGCACGTGCGACTACTTATCTAGCCGAAGCTGATTCCAGCTTGTATTTCTATGCATGCAATTTCAGCCAGCAGCGGATGCTAAACATTACGGCCACTTTGAAGTGTACAACCTTCTCAGAGCAAGAGGAGCAAAACTTCCGGTAATGCATTTCTTATTTTCGTAATTCAAAATTCCCGGAACTCTTCTTAACTCTTGCTATTGCTATGATATGGAAAATATTTTCTTATACATTTGTTATTCTCCTCTACCAGAAAACCAAGAAGACTCCAATGACTGTGTCAAATCCTAAAGAAGTTCCAGAGTATGAACTGAACCCTCTTGAACTCGAGTTCCGAAGAGGAGAGGAGGTTACAAAGGCATGTCTCAATAAACTCCCTCCTTTTGTTTTCTCTTTTTGCACGGTGTCTTTCTTCATGTATTTGAGTTACTTGGATAAGAGTGCTAACAATTTTCCACAATGGACTTATTGATGATTAAAAGTGTTAAGGTTGAAAACGTGATTCTTATGTCGATTTCCATGATAATTTAAGCCCTACTATTAGTACTCAAAAACAAGAAAATCATATCTTCTACTGTAGGTTCATCTAAATTTGCATTTGCTGATTTTATTGGTTTGACATAATTATGACCGCCTTACCTGTCATACAATTTGTACAGGGTTACTATGTAGCCAAATGGTATGGCTCCAAAGTTTTCGTGAAGATACTTGACAAAGATAGCTTCTCAGACGGAGATAGCATGTATGAGCTGCCTCCTTGAACTTTTACATCAGTTGACCTTTTTTATCTGATAATCATGAAGTTGCACACAGAAGTTTAGTAGTGTATCTAAGACAATTATCATGATGAATTGGGTCTGTTATAATCATATAACGCTCAATTGTAGTATAGTTTGTTGAGATATTGTGCCAGACAATCCTACAACTCACCTTGGCGTCCTCTCTGTTCATTGAACCTGAATAATAATTTCTCTTTTTATAAACAAGTTACAGGGAAAATATTATTACTACACCCCAGCTTGGTGCACCCACGCAAGAAAACATAGCAAAACATTTTGAAAATATCTGAAACTTTGTGGGAAGGATTATGAACAAATGTTATAGGTGCTTGCAAAGTTTGGTGGTCAAATGGCATTCGAGGAGCTCTGTACAAAAAAAAAACTCAAAATGTACGTGCACTGTTTGAGCAAAATTTCTAATTTTGTTTTTTTGTACACACCTCCTCGGATGTCATTTGACCACCAAACTTTGCAAGCATCTGCAACATTTGTTCATAATCATTTTCACAAAGTTTCAGATTTTTTCGAAATGTTTTGCTATGTTTTCTTGCATGAGTGTAGAGTGGGTGCACCGAGCTGGGGTTCAGCCACTACTTTCCCTTATGGAGTTATCACAGTGTTTATTATCGTATAATTAGTTTGACAAACTAACTTGATACAGTTTCAGTCTAAACAGTTTTCTTCAGTTCATAGTCGTGAACTTTTTATTTTGATTTTGGGCTTTGCTTATCATGTTTCATTCAATACTGCTAAGTTCTGTCGTCATATCAACTCAGAGATGCATTCAAACACGAGCTTACTTTACTGGAGAAAGCGCGGCATCCCAATTTGGTCCAATTTGTGGGAGCTGTTACACAAAATGTACCACTGATGATTGTTTCAGAATACCACCAAAAAGTGAGTAGTTGTGCTTGATTCAACAGAACAAATGCATGTATTCACTTTTGATCATTTCGGAAAAGCAACCCTCCAACTAGCAGGGTTTCTTCACATAAATTTATGGAGTACTATGCACTTAACTCACCTGAACATTATTTTGTGTTGTTATTAGAACAGTAGAAAGTAATCCTATTGGATTTACCTGAACAATATTACTCTTCTATCATCGATGACTGGATCTGTGTTCCCTCATTAGGGTGATCTAGCGAGCTATCTTGAGACAAAAGGTCGCGTGCAATCTTACAAAGCGATCAGGTTTGCCCTTGACATTGCAAGGTATGTTAGGATTCATGACATATGTATTTCGTTTTCCTTCAAAGCTGTATCTACCATTTGAACTGTTGACTGGAACTGCTCGTGTCAGTGCATCATTTTGTAGTCACGTGACAATAAGTTTATTTTCTTTATTTTTAGACAGGAAAAACAAGAAAATTAATTTGATTCATCTAATTGAAATGGTTTTCAATTTTCAGTTATGTGTTATTTCAATGAAACAAAATGAAATCACAAATGATTTATGAAGTTCATGCGCTAGTTTGTATTCTGTTCTTCTACCACCAGAACAGAGGAAAAAATATTCTGCATTAATTCCTTCTTCTTATTTAGGGGACTAAATTATCTTCACGAGTGCAAGCCAGAGCCAATCATCCACGGTGATCTGTCACCAAAGTAAGCTTATCCAAATATATTTCGTCACTAAACCAGTGCACTGTACTAAATTCAAGTGGTTTATTCTATGTGGACTGTACGTTATGATACTTTTGTAAGGTTTCAGAAATATTGTGCGGGACGATGAAGGAAAACTTAAGGTGGCAGGCTTTGGATCACTTGATCTGACAAAAGTCTCCCAAGATAAACTACAGATGGTTCAGCCAGTGTCAAATTTTGACAGTACGTTACATTTACCTATTTAATGACAGCATGCTGCATCGTACATTCTTTCTATGTAATGGTTCTATACCAGTGACCATTTCAAATTAGTACTAGTGCCACAGTTATGACTTATAACTACTACTATTAAATATGTTCATGTGCGTAGGTGTATACATTGCTCCTGAAATGTACAGAAACGAAGCATTTGACAGAAGTGTGGATACATTTGCGTTCGGTCTCATTCTTTACGAGGTATGTAATCTGTCACACTTCTTAATTTGGAAGCGCCAATGAATTCACACTAACTGTTTGTTGCAGCTGTCGCCAGTACGTAATTCAAATGAGCACATATCTTTAGCTAAGCATCGCACGCGTACATTATCTTATATTTATTGTTCAGATGATTGAAGGATCTCCTGCATTTCACCCAAAGCCTCAAGAGGAAGCGGCCAAGATGATTTGTTCAGAGGGTTTGAGACCATTATTCAAGAATAAACCCAAATCATATCCTGAGGGTGTGAAAGAGTAAGTGAATCTTATGCCGTGCCCCGTTCATATCCCTCTTTACTCGTAGTCATATGTTTGTGAGTAGCTTTTGCATTCTATTCATACATGTCTATATAATACTGTATTAATAATTTCTCAAGGAGCTCTGCTTTCACGTATCCATGTTTCCCTGCATTGTCCAGCCACAGCCATCACTGATTGTTTGCTCGTAGGCAGGTCGTCCTTGCTTAATTTCGCTATCTGCTGCTCATAGTAGTTGTTTGCATATCACAGGCTAATACAAGAGTGCTGGGATCCAACACCTTCCGTCAGGCCAACGTTCTCGGATATAATTGAACGCCTGAACAAGATATCTGCAAGTTGTTCCAAGCAAACTCGCTGGAGAGACAACTTCAAGCTACCGTGGTACAGTTCTCACTGATCTAACTGCAAAAACTTGGACTATCAAACTCCTTTCTAAATCATTTTGAACTTTTCTATAACAATCTAGAACAGATATCAGTCGGTATCCTAAGGTAATTAATTTGATGGTCTGTTGCCTTATTGGTAATACACCATGGCTTATAATTGAAATTGCTTCAGTTCATTTCGGTAACTCTGGGAAACTTGAGCGTTGTTTTATAATTGATCTACCATCAAAATCCATTGTATCATGGGTCTCACTCTCATGTTTCATCTCCTCAGGAAACAAGCTGTGCACAAATAGTTCTGATCTTCCACGAGACTGTCGATGAGATTCCCCCCCTTTTTTTGCATATCTTAGTAAACACGGTGAAAATTATATTGGTATATGGGACAGAAGTTGTTCCTTTACAAGGTTTTTGTATGTCCAGTTATAATTTCTTTCTTTTTATACCTCTGGTTAAGTGTATTTCGAGTTATGTTCATCCGAATGGGAAGAATGTATTAAGTTCCTGAATGTTGCAAATATGCTCATACCATATGCCTCCGAAAGTCAATGACATATTTTTATGTTTTTCTAAACACCAAAATGTAGCGACTGTACCTAATTTGTTGGTTTGTTTGCATAAAATGTTGCAAAAGTTTAGGTATTCTTTCTTCAGATTTTGGAAGAAAAAACCTTGTTTCTGCATCATTTGCAGCAGGACAACTTGTGCTTATTGTGGTGACAAATGACGCATTGTATGTGCGACACTTGTCACAACAAGAGATTTTTGTGCTCTTTTCCTAGATTCATTTTCCAAAACGTTTTATCTTTTGAACCATGCGTCCAAATCACGAACCATTTTCACTGTTGTGTTTCTCGCCTCAAAATATTTTAAACTAGATGTCATGTTAATAAGTTTGGAGCACCTCCCCGAAAGTGCGTTATATCGACTAGAAGGAGGGTGAATAGGCAATTTTTATGAATTCGACACTGAGGAAATTCCTAATTCTAAGTGAGGAATTTCCTAAGTGATGAACTACAAGCAGCGGAATAAGTACTCAGGTGCAAGTATAACATGGCAGTAACACAATCATCATGATGATATGAAATAAGCACGGGGTACAGGTAGCGTGTAAATAGGATAAGCAGGTTGAAGATAAGATGACTGAAGAAATAGGATTGAGGAAATTGAGAAAGTCTTTAGCCAAAGTCTTCAAACAGTAACGGTCAATTTCATCAACATATGAATGAAGAAATGAAAGGGTTGAGGAAATAGAACCAGTAGCTCGGTGAAGACAACGATTTGGACCAGTTCCAACTGTTGTGACAGTTGCACGTCTGGTTGGGGAGGTTAGATATTTAAACCTGAGGACACACATTCCTCACCATATTCTCCTTGAGCTAAGGTCACACAGACCTTGCCCAATCACTCGTGGTAAGTCTTCCAAACCTTCACAGATTCGGTCACTCGGCGATCCACAATTCCTCTTGGATGCTCTAGACCATGACGCCTAACCGTCTGGAGGATGCACAATCCTCAAAGGTAACAAGCGTTGGTTCCACACAGGAACAATCTCTTCAGTAATACTCAGTCACTTTGTGTTGTAGGTGTTTGGGTCTGGGTTTTTTTTCTCACTTGATGATTTTCACTCAAAGTCCTCGGAGGATGGGATGCTCTCAATGACAAGTGTCAGTTTCTCTCAGAGCAGCCAACCAACTAGTGGTTGTAGGGGGCGGCTATTTATAGCCGGGGAGCATCCCGACATGATAAGACATAAATGCCCTTCAATGATATGACCGTTAGGTGGATAAGATATTTTGGGACAGCTGGTGCATAGCAAAGCAACGGTCGAAAATTTGAGCTCTCAAATTCCTAAAGGCTATCATGTTCCTCACTTGTAGGCAATCCGCACTGGCGAATTCCTAACTCCTCAGTCAGAACAAATTCCTCAGAGAACAGAAGAACTTCGTCTCTGTCACTGAAGAAATTGACTGAACTGTATGAGATTTCCAATGGCTTCACTTGAAAGGATTGGGTAGGTGTAGGATTTGAGATGAGGATCACTTTGAAACTTTTCCTTAGTTTTACCTCGACCCCCTTTAACAGTATGGTGTTTCCTATGACTTAAGAAAGAGAAAATGAAAGTACGAAAACAAAAGTCTTCACGCTTCATAATCCTCGCATCAATATCAAAGTCTTCAAGGTCACACCAATTTTCTCATTTTCAAAGTCTTCAAGAAAACCAAGGTCATCAACTGAAGACATTCATTTTTAGGGGTCGACCTTCATCGTAAATATCAAACTCCTCATAGACTTATAGAACCTGTCTCCACTCACAAACACATTAGTCCCTTAACCTATAAGTCTTCAATACACCAAAATCACTAAGGGGCACTAGATGCACTTACAATCTCCCTCTTTTTGGTGATTGATAACAAATAGGTTAAGTTTTCAACGGGGATAATCATATGAAGTGTAAATACTAATATTGAGGAATTTGATTTCAATATATAGAAGAACTTCCCCCGAAGATGTGCATATTTGAGGAATTTGCTTTGGATTGCAAATGCACATTGTAGAGTAATATCATGGAGATCTCCCCCTATATCTTGTAATTCATACACACATTTGACATATAGTATGAAGAATTTGAAATGCATGATGAGATATGGTGTCTGACGAAATTTAGCATGCGTGCATTAAGGTACTTGAGGAAATAAGCATGCAGAAAGCAGTTCAAAAGTATCAGAGCACCATAGGACTTAAGTTTACAACTCGATCAACAAACACTTTAGAAGAGCGAGAGTTGTAACTTAACAAAAAAAACAACCCATATATAAGACCCGCTTGAAGACTAACTCAAATTTCTTCCCCTTTGTCATTAAATGACCAAAAGGGACGAAAAATGAGGACTAACGCCCCTGAAGAATATCATCATGATGTTGATGGAGGAACGCCAACGTTGTTGGGGTCGTCCGTTGAGGTAGGGCCTGCCGCAGTGTCGTTCAAATCTTCAGCTTGCACAGGGGACTGATGAATTGGATGCAAAGGTGTGGTCAATGGTGAATTGGGTGAAGTCTTTCCCAATAGCCATCATTTAGCACGGGAGTTGTTGAACCAATATCCACATCTTCTTCTTCCATTTCTTCAACACCCACCTCTTCAGCTGTGAACTGAGGCATGGGCGATGATACCAGAGGTGTGGAAACAACATCTTCAACATCAATTTCTTCATCCAACTGCTCTGAAGAAGCAGTAGAAGGATTTTCTTCACCTGGAATGACATGTTCTTCACCAAATGGGACAATTTCCTTTGATGGCACAACAAAGATTGGAACAACATCAATTGGGTTAGTGAAGGAACTTGTCAAAGTCGTCACCCATTTAGGAGCTGAGGACTCTGTAGAAGTTGATGCTTTTCACTTCTTCACAGCTACCTTCTCTGCAGCCTTGGTTTTCTTCACTTCTGATGTAGAAGGAAGGTTGATATTCTTCATCTCTGATTATCTTGCAGGAGGAGCAGATGAAGTAGGTTCAGGTTCTTCAGACACAACTGATGCAGTTGCCCTGGCATTCTCAGTTTCTTCAGGCGCAGCAAATTCTTCAGCTGGCCTTGGTTGATCTTCAGGCGCAACATTGGAGGTTTCCCTGTCAATTTCCTTAGGAGCTGGAAATTCTTCAGCAGCCCTGGTACTTTTAGTTTCTTCAGAAGCATGATTTTCATCAATTGCGCTTACATTTTCTTCAATGGGTTGAGCAGATGCTTCAACCTGAGGAATTTCTTGTTGCGATGGAGTTGCAACATTGAGCTTGAGGTTCTTGGAGAGATTAACGAATCTGACTTTAGCACCGACCCAGTCTGCATGATATGTGTCAAATTCATCACTGAGGCCTTTGATCTCCTTTTGCATGTTGACAAGTTCTTCAGGAGACATATTCAGAGCATTTTTCTTCAAAAATCGCTCCTTCTTGTACTGAGCCTTCTTGACTTGTCTGGCCTTCTCATATTTCCATTTTTCTTCACTTATGAAGGCCGTCAACATGTGAATTTCACCATAAGTGAGGTTCAAGTTAGGCAGTGGTGTGTTGGGATCCTTTTGCCAAAGGTCAATGAGGCCGAGGATCTTCTTCGGATCCAGCATGAGAGGCACAGTACTGCCTTTGGCTCTAGCGGACCTTTCTTGCTTGTCCCTAATGATTTCTGCGAGTTCTTCATCATCAGCTTCATCGTCATCAGATGGAATTTGGAAAGCCACTTGCTTCTTATGAGGACTTGGCCTCGATCCTCGTCTAGTAGCAGCTTTGACTTTCAGCAAGGTTGGACCAGTTGAGGATTGTGGTGGAGCTGAGGAACTTGCAGATTCTCCTGAAGCAATGGAAAAACCTGCAGTCCTTTGGCACGTGGCAAGATGCATAGGTTTTGAGGACTTTGCAACAGCAGTTGAGGATTTCGTGGCAACAGAGGGAATTGGAGCTGCCCTTAAAGAAGTTGCCTGAGGAATTTGCCGTGAGGGCTTTGAACTTGGCCGTGAAGGCATTGACTTTGAAGAACTTGGCCGTGAGGGCATTGCTGTTGAGGAACTCGGCTTCACAGCTAATTTCTTTGGCAAAGCCTTCTTAGGCTTACTTGTAGAGGCCTCAGCAGCAGTAGCAGCAGAATCTTCATTGAATTTCTTCACTGCTTCTTTTGCCACTTTAGCCAATTTGGCTTGACGCTTGGCCCATTCTTTGGGAAATTCCTCACCGCATCTAATGCTTGAGGATCCTTGGCCCATCTCTTTTCAATCCTATGGATGCGCACTTTGCGCTGATTCTTGGTTTCTTTCCCATGAGTAGCTTCATCTGGTGTGCAATATTCTTCATATATAGGATTTCAAAAGCAGGGTTGGACTCTGGTCTCTTTCCTCCCTTCTGAGGTCTCTTCCCATCAACCATTTTCTTCACTTGAGGATTTTGAACAATGGATGTTTCTGAGGAAGTATGCAATTTATCTTCAAGGAACGCTGCAAATGAGTTAAGTTTATGATAACCTAGTGATTCAGTAGTGGACATTTTGTACCTGTGAACAGAGTATATGTACAAAGAATTTGGAGAGGTCATATGTGTTCTCAGAAATTTTTCAAAAAGAATCAAGTTTGAGGAATTTGACCATGGGTTTCTTAAGGAATTTCATTAAGCGTTCTTGACTTAGGTTCCAGAGTTGTATAGATTTGAATATCACACAATTGAGGAATCTTGAAGAAAAACACAGCTTAGAGAAACAAATCAAGGTACATATGCAGCTGGGTGTTTAAGGATTGGGAAGTTGTAGAATAAA